GATCCCCAAGAGCTGGCACTGACTCTTTGGATGCCTTTCCTGGCTTGTACTGGTACCAGTCGACTTTTCCTGCTCCAACCATCCACTCTGAACCCAGAGCACTTTCGAACTCGGATTGCGTTAAACCCGGCGGTAACCGTCTCACGAGCAATTTGAGTCGCGGAGCAGGTGGCTTCGGAGCCTTCTTGGAGGCTGATGATGCATTCTTCTGCGTTGCGGCTGCAGGAATCTGAAGTACACCTCCTGTTGACTTGCCATCGGAAATCTGCGTCATGATGAACGGTTATGAGGGGTGGGTGGGATCTACACTCCGACTGGGGTGAGCCGCAACGTAAATCCCTGAGACTGAAGATGCTGCGGACAATATGGTAGCCAAGAACTCGAGGTGACAAAGACCAGTGAGGATACAGTGGAGGTGCCGCCGGTCCTGAGTTGACGAAGAGATATCCTCCGGTTCAAGATGAAAACCAGCTGGATATGTTGCGTCGAGTGAACTACGGGACACGAAGGCCGCCAAGCACGCGACCCTGCACAGACGATCAGGGCCCAATTTCCTGCGGGGAAATACGTTCGCGCAAGTAAACTTGTGTTGCTTTCGTCGTTGTCCAGATCCTCCGTCGTGGATTAACTATATCAAGAAAGCAATTTTATATTCCGATTCTGCTATCTCTCTAATTTTACCCCAAAGCTCTCATCAACTCGGTCGAAGTATCCCTTCGTCGCTTCGTTCATCCGCACCCGCACCATGGTGGACAGCAAGATTCCTGAGCCGGGACCAGCTAAGCTGAAGCGCAATGCAGGTCCAGATGAATGGCTGGAGGCAGCCAAAGATTGCAAGTATCTGTCAGAACAGCACATGAAGCAGCTTTGCGAGATCGTCAAGGAGTACATGATGGAGGGTGAGTCTGGTCAGGGGATCAAGGGATATACTCCGGCTCTAACGAAGTATCTGAAGAATCCAATATCCAGCCCGTATCGACACCTGTCACGGTTTGTGGCGACATCCATGGCCAGTTTTACGATTTGCTTGAGCTTTTCCGGGTATCGGGCGGAATGCCCGACGGGTCTGAGACGGAGGCCCCGAAGACGCAGTCAGCGGTCATCACATCGGAAGATATCGAACCTCCGTCCACGATTTCAGATCCTAAACTACGAAAGAAGTTGAAAAATGCCTCTGCGCCGGAGGAGGGAAGCGAAGACTCGAGTGCGAGCCAAAGAAACCGGTCCTCGAGCGGTGGCTCAAGAGATGTCGAGCTCAAGCGGAACTTTGTGTTCTTGGGTGACTATGTCGATCGTGGCTACTTCAGTCTGGAAACTCTGACGTTGTTATTATGTCTCAAAGCCAAGTGAGTGCTCGTTCTAACTTCCCCTGCCACAGACTAGGGCTGACTCCTTCAGATACCCTGACCGGGTAACACTGGTCCGCGGAAATCACGAGTCTCGCCAGATTACGCAGGTGTATGGATTCTACGAGGAATGCTTTCAGAAGTACGGAAATGCTTCTGTATGGAAGGCTTGTTGCCAAGTGTTTGACTTCATGACATTGGGTGCCATTATTGACGGTAGAGTGTTGTGTGTACATGGAGGTTTGAGTCCAGAGATCAGGACCTTGGACCAAGTTCGTGTGGTTGCCCGAGCCCAGGAGATTCCGCATGAAGGCGCCTTCTGTGACCTTGTATGGTCAGACCCAGACGATGTGGAAACATGGGCTGTCAGTCCCAGAGGAGCAGGTCAGTTATGTGTCCATTTATGCCAGGCGAAATACTTACAGTTCATAGGTTGGCTGTTCGGTGATAAGGTGGCCGACGAATTCTGTCACGTCAACGACTTGACATTGATCGCCCGAGCGCATCAGTTGGTGAATGAGGGCTACAAGTATCATTTTGCGAACCAAAATGTGGTTACTGTCTGGAGTGCGCCCAACTATTGTTACCGATGCGGAAATCTGGCGTCAGTGTGCGAGATTGGTGACGACCTCAAACCGACGTTCAAGTTGTTCAGTGCTGTCAGCGACGACCAACGACATGTACCCGTATCGCGGCCGGGCCGCAGCGAGTACTTTTTGTAGAATACCTTTTTCGCGCTCTCCCTTTTGGCATATTTTCTGAGAATTCCGGGAGATACCTGATTCGCATCGACGCTGGCGTCCTAGCATGCTTGATGGTCTGTCTTATTTGCCAGTGTGGGCAGTGATGATGATTTATATAATGATCCTAGACCCCGCTAACGATACTTTCATCTTTGAGCCTAAGAGGGCAGCTTGATTACTCGCTTCATCAGCTTGTATGCTTCCACTTTGATACCTTGCATGCGTGCAATAGACTCTATCCGTCCAATATACTCTTGTTTCATGTCCCTAATGCTGAGCGTCTCTGATCCTCATTGCTGATTGGCCGGCACTTGACCGAGGCGTCATCTGCCGACGGTCCGGGATGCATCCCGAACTTTACGGGATGCGTTCCGGCCCCGGGTCCGAGTACACCATAAAGAAGCAGACCATGGCCACCAAATCCGGGGAGAGGGTCCTTCACCAGTTTAATCGCTCTTCTCCTAATTTTGCATACCCAACTCATTCCAATGTCCGAGAAAGTCGATGTGCTCATCTGCGGGAGTGGTTCCGCAGGCCTCTGCGCCGCGACATGGCTCGCGCGGTACGGCATCCGTTGTAAGGTGCTGGAGCGGCGCGACGGGCCCATGATGATGGGCCAAGCAGATGGTGTGCAGTGCCGGACCGTTGAAATCTTCGAGAGCTTTGGTATCGGCGAGGAGCTGCTGCGTGAAGCGTACCATGTGCTGGAGGTGGTGTTCTGGGCCGATGATGGATCTGGTTCGATCAAGCGCACTGGTCGGACGGCGGATACGCAGCCGGGCCTGTCACATCAGCCGCATGTTATTCTTAACCAGGCTCGGATTAATGGGTTGCTGATTGAGAAGATGCGGGAGTGGAACAATCAGGAGATCGACTACGGGTACACTGTCACCGGTGTCGAGGTGGATAGCAAGCTGGCGGCGGATCCGCAGGCGTATCCGGTCAAGGTGACTGCAGAGAAGAATGGGAAGACTGAGACACTGGAGGCTAAATATGCGCTTGTATGTTATTCTCAGTTACTTTCATTCCTTGCTATAGGGCAGTCTCTGACGTCTCCAGGCTTGCGACGGTGCTCACAGCACCGTTCGGAAATCACTCGGCTACAACATGATCGGAGACAGCACCGATGCCGTCTGGGGTGTCATGGATATGATTCCTCGTACAGATTTCCCCGACATCCGCAAGAAGACCACCATCCGCTCAAAGGCAGGAAACCTGATGATCATCCCCCGGGAAGGTGGCAGTCTGGCTCGCTTCTACATCGAGCTGGCGGCCACCACGAAGCCCAAGGAAGTCAAGCTTGAGCATCTCCAACAGGCAGCAAAGAACATTCTCAGCCAGTACACGATCGAGTTTGTCGAAACCGTCTGGTGGTCTGCGTATTCCATTGGCCAACGCCATGCGGATTTTTTTCAAAAGGATTACCGCGTTTTCCTCGCCGGCGATGCTTGCCATACGCACTCCCCTAAAGCCGGTCAGGGCATGAATGTCAGCTTGCAGGATGGGTACAATATTGGCTGGAAGCTAGCCACTGTCTTAAAAGGATTGGCGTCGCCTTCCCTGTTGGAGACATATGTCCTGGAACGCCGGAAGGTGGCGCTCGATCTGATCAACTTCGACCGTTATTTCTCAAAGCTCTTCTCCTCGGGAGGCCAGACGTCTCCCGCTGAGTTCCAGGAGGGGTTTATCAAGGCTGGCAAGTATACCGCCGGAATGACGGCTCGGTATGACAAGTCACAGATTACTTCCGACGTGGATGAATCAGACAAGCTTTCGACAAACGTTGTTGTTGGTATGAGACTGCCCAGCGCTCAAGTCGTGCGCTTCAGTGACTCGAAGCCCATGCAATTAGCTCAGTCGCTCAATTCAGATGGCCGCTGGCGAGTGATGGTCTTCATTGGAGATGTCAGCTCGGCCGAGACCAGGACAAAGCTGAAAGCTGTAAGTGACGCTCGTCATAGTGCTGCCTGAATAAATCTGGCTGACCTCATAGTAGATCGGTGACTACCTCGGCTCTACAGATGGTCCTATCCAGACATTCCGCCCCAAGGGAGGAGATATCGACAGTCTTATTGAGCCCATTCTGGTGGGTCATGGCAGGCGCCATGCCGTGGAACTGGAACAGATTCCCGAGTGCTTCTACCCTGTGACTGGAAAGCATCAAATCAAAGGTGGGTTTTCGAAGTCCATAAAAAAACTCCATAGTAAGATGCGCTAACGATCATCAGACCTTCACAAAATCTACTACGATGATGAAAGCTATAACAAGGGTCATGGTCACTGCTACGAGCACCTCGGGATTAGCCCCGAGAAGGGCGCAATTGTGATTGTCCGTCCAGATCAATGTGAGGATCCTGACCGTCAATTTGAATGGCTAATGCTAATTCTTGCCCAGATGTATCTGCCGTGACGAGTCTGGATGACTATACGCAGATTGGAAAATTCTTTGCGGGTTTCCTGATACCCCAGCTGCCTGAAAGCAAATTGTAATTTGACCTGATTATAACAATCATATTCCGGTGACTTTTTTCCACTTGTATATAGTTCTGTATGAGCCTGTATATCAACGATGGCGAGCAATAGGCAACTGCTTTGTTTCAAGGGTTGATAATGATGATGTGGGGTATTTGGGCGATAAGAGCTTGACCACCCCGCATCCTCGTCGAAGGATGATTGTAGAGCTGAGTCTTCTCTCACTATTTGAATCACCTGAGGCTCAAAACCTAAATGTAAACACGACTGCCTATTACTATCGGGAAGATCGATTGGGTCAACTTTCGTATAGCATGAGTCATCCAACCTCCAGCTGAACGAACAAAAAGGCCGAGGACTTATCTTCCAAAGGGGCGAGAACATTTAACTCGTCCCCAGACACTAACCATCGCAATATTGTGTCGCATCGAAGACCGACATGGCGGAATTTCCTGATTTCATCGTACCTTCTCATCTCGCTGAATACAATGTCCCTCTGCCCGAATTCGCCGCGTCGAAACCACATCTGACGGATTTCGTTGTCGGGGGACTGGTATATTCTCAATCCATCGAAGAAGGCGATGAAGCCACCGAACCGACAAGCGAAAAGCCCCGTACCTACGTTCTGCTCCTCCAACGCGCCGCCACCGACTCCTACCCCGGTCATTGGGAAGGACCGGGAGGGATGTGCGAGCGCACCGATTCCACGCTGCTAGCCGGTGTAGCGCGCGAAGTCTTTGAGGAGACTGGGCTCCACGTTTCCAAATTTGTTGATTTGATTGCGATTGATGAGTGGGTGCGGATTTTGCGGAATGATGAAATGCACCGTGTAGCTAAGTTCACGTTTTTGGTTGAGGTGCACGAGGCGAGTGGGAAGGATGGTGTACCATCCGGGGATGTGGTAGTGGGAGTTGCGCCGGAGCGCTGGGAGGATGGGGTGAAGTTGGAGCAGGCTGAGCATCAGGCATTTGAGTGGGCAACGGAGGAGGCGGTGCGTGAGAGTCTAGAGTCACAGGGCAAGTTTAAATTTCTGAAAGATCAGGGTTGGAATCTGTTGAAGGGGTTTGAATTGCTGAAGAGGACTAGAACGGGCTGAGGGCGGAAGTCGAGGTTGATAGCCTATGGCTGCCTGGGGCTCGCAAATCGCAAGGGCAGCTTTTACATATGATCTTATCATCACCTATGTGTTGTGCAGCATTTTCTGAGAGTGTTACATGCGTTTTGATACACAGCCTTAAAAATGACCGAAACAGAAGATGAAGTAACCCGTTGCCGTCATCAGCCAACCTATTCTATATTGTCTTCCACCGGCAGAGCTCCCTCAGCTTGCATCTGCAGGGCGACCTCGTCGACTCGCTTCCATACGCGCAGTAGGTTACCCCCTGCGACCTTGGCAGCATCCTCATCACTGACACCTCGTCGTAGAAGCTCCGCGATCAGGTCGGGGAATTTGGACACATCTTCTAGCCCCCGAGGAACAGTCATGATACCGTCAAAGTCGCTGCCTAATCCGACATGGTCGAAGCCAATCAGACCTCCAATGTGCATAATGTGATCCGCAACCTTTGCAAGAGTAGCATGTTCCATATCAGTCTCTGGTAGCTCATCTGGGTTGTCCGACGCAGTGCACGAAATGAAATTAGGCGAGAAGTTGACCATAACCAGCGAGTCTTTTGTCTTGACGAGCTCTAACACGTCGTCGGGAACGTTGCGAGGATGGAGACAGATCGCGTACGTAGAACTGTGACTATATATTACTGGCGCACGACTGCCGAACCAATTGTCCTTACCGGCGCCGAGGACGTCTCGCATAGTGTCCACACTGACGTGAGCCAGATCGACAATCATGCCCATCCGGTTCATCTCATAGACGAGCTCCTTTCCAGCGTCACTGACCCCGTGCCAGTACGGAACGGCCTTTTTGATACTGCCGTCGGGCTGTTGGGCTAAAGCGGCATCCGCATAACGATTGTGGCAGTTGTGTGTCAGTGTGGCGTATGACACCCCAAGGTTATAGAAATCTCGCAAAAGAGCCAAGGAGTTACCGATAGAGTGGAGGCCCTCAATTCCGTAAGGAGAAATGATCTTGCCGTCAAGGAAAGCTTGAAGAGCGGTTGTTCCATTCGGAGGTGATGAAAATGTGTCAGGGTAGGCCTTCGCTAGGCGTGACATGACGTCGAGTTGTTCCAATGTTTGACGGATGCCTGATCATCAGTTATTAGCAGTGAGACCGAAATTCAGATATTCATGTTCCTACTTGTTGTATACGTTGCGTCAGAGAAATCCTCCCAATGCTTAGGACACGGCACAAACACACTCCAGAAGGTACCGCCAACTTTGCCCTTAGAAAGCCGCGGCAGGTCAACATGACCTTTGAGGTTTCCTTGAGTAAAAGGAAAAGTGGAATTGTCCGCATAAATCTTGTTGTTGTAAAAAGCCCGAATCAAGATAGGAAGGTCATTGTGGCCATCTGTATAACCGTCAGTATACTCGCGTGGCTAAATTATGAAGGTATTGTACCGATCAATGGGGTGTGTGACAGAATCTTGTCGACTCTCTTCTCAATGGTAAGAGGAGCGCTCAATTGGGGAGACGCTGTCGTGAAAACAACAAGGCATGCCAGTATGAGTGTCACAGCCAAACGTCCAAGATAGCGAGCTAAGGACTTGTTTTCGGAAATTTGAACTTGCTTCTCTTCATCATTTGAGAAGCTCTCAAGGGATTGCTTCTTCTCGAAGGACACCTTGCTAGACATCTGACGGTAAATCATAGAAGTAAATCAGTTATCAAGAAGAATTGTATTCAAGAAAACGGTTATACTCTCAGCACTAAAGGCGAGACTGGGCTGACAAATACGATCAATAACGGAGACAGTTAAGGATTCCTATCTTCATGCAATCATGCCTTGGCTTTTCCATATCTTCCCTCCACACCAGAGGAATTAACACCCTCTCAAAGATAATTCTTATCTCAGGTCTGAGATTGGCTATCACGGGACGCATTCCTAAGGTTGACTCATTATGCAGCGAACATTATCTGACCTCGGTAGATTCCGTCCTACGGATGACAATAGCAAGATAATTTTAATTATTGTTTAGTATTTGACGTATATCAAGCCACTCAGCCAAGATGTCCAGACAATTATATCTGGCTAGTACGGGTGATAGCAGTAGGGTCAACACAACAGGGAACACAACATTATCTATACTTCTAGACTTCGAAGTAGAAATTGAACTCTTCTTCGGGTGCTGATTCCTGCCTGAGGTTTCTACATGTAATCCAGCAAGCCCAAAATGCGGGAACCAATCAGAGCCCATCTGAATGGGGAAATTTTAATCCTCATCGAGTGCCTGACAGCAACCTTCTTGATCGAAACGCTCTTGAAAGCCGAAATATCCAGGTAAATCGTCATTTGTGCAAGTATTACTTGCTCGCTTCGTTCATTTCCGAACACACATAGCTGCTTACAAACAAGGAGACCCCATTTGTGCCCCTCTTGGCTTTTCCCCACTTGGTCCGATCGCCCTCCGTCAATCAATTTTATCCCGCCTTCTCAAGGTTCTCTCCGCGACTGCGACGAAATATTAACGCGGCAGCTCATATATAGGAAAAGGATTGCTGCTGTATTGATTCCTTGGAATCATCATGGCCGAACACCCCATTACTGAAGGTTCGACAAATTGAGAGATCCTTTTCCCCAGTATCATGCTGACCGATAGTTCGTTTATAGGTCTTTTGGCCTTCTGGCATTCCTACCGTCTACTGTTCCTGGTCGCTCTCTCAACGGTCTTCTTGGGTCTACGATTCTACCGCATACTGCAGTCGAGAACGAAAACAACAGCCTCGTCTTCGATTCCGCCATCACCCCGAAGCCAATCCCCTGAAAAGACGGACAAAGGGACCTCTCTCAAGAGCAGCAACCCAGCAACGACACAGAAGGCTGAACGGCAACTTCCCCTGGCCAACGGCCCAGCAAAGGGCACTTCAGGCCCGAAGAGGGTTACCGGTAAAAAACCATCGAAGGTCACTGGACGACAAGGACAAACAGAGGATGCGGAGCCCCTCTCCTTTATCCAACCCATCATCTTTTTCGCTTCTTTGACTGGCACCACCGAGAGATATGCCAAAATACTGTTCGAGGAATTGCGCGCTGCGGCGCAAAAGCGGGCTGATTTGCAGGATCGCGAGCGTGGCCTTCTACCCCCTCAGATTCACGACCTCTCCTATATTGATCTCGACGACTACTTCACCTCTGCACCGAAGCCTCCGCCGAACTCACCCGGTACACGCTACGTATACTGCTTATTGATCCCTACATACAACATCGACAGTATTCTGAATACGGTCCTTGACCATCTTAACGAGACCCATAATGATTTCCGCATCGACACAGGCTCTCTGTCAAGCCTCGCCGGGTACTCTGTTTTCGGACTTGGTGATAAGGAAGGCTGGCCTACCGAGGAGGAAGGCTTCTGTTCTCAAGCCAAAGAGCTGGACAAATGGATGGCCAAACTAACGAGGCGGAAACGGGCATATCCTTTGGGATTGGGTGATGTTAAAAGTGACGCTGAATCCTCCTTGAAAGAGTGGTCTCAGGGATTGCAAGATATCCTTTTTGACATCCTCGAAAATGGCGGGCTAGGAGAAGGCGTGCCTGGCAGTGGCGATCCCGTTGAGAGTGACGAGGAAGTGGACGATGAAGACGTAGACAAGAGCAATGCTCAAAACGTCATGGACTTGGAGGACATCAAGTTTGGAGGTGATCAAAACGCAGCCGGGTCGCCAATTCCCGTAGATTTTACGACCACAGGAAAATCTTCCTCTGGTCAACCAACCGAGAAGGAGATGGTTCCAAAGACATCACCCACATACGCTGCTCTAACAAAACAAGGCTATACGATCGTCGGCTCTCACTCCGGAGTCAAGATCTGCCGTTGGACTAAATCTGCGCTGCGTGGTCGAGGTTCATGCTACAAGTTCTCCTTCTACGGTATACGATCGCATCTTTGCATGGAGGCTACACCGTCGCTGTCTTGCAGCAACAAGTGTATCTTCTGCTGGCGCCACGGTACGAACCCAGTCGGTACTACTTGGCGTTGGAAAGTTGATTCTCCGGAGTTGATCTTCGAGGGAGTCAAGGAGGGCCATTACAAGAAGATCAAGATGATGCGTGGCGTTCCTGGTGTGCGAGCCGAGAGATTCGCAGAGGCAATGCGCATCCGACACTGTGCCTTGAGTTTGGTCGGCGAACCGATTTTCTATCCTCACATCAATGAGTTCCTGGACATGCTGCACGGCGAACGCATCTCCAGCTTCCTGGTATGCAATGCGCAACATCCTGATCAACTCGAAGCTCTGCATCGCGTAACCCAGCTATACGTGTCCATTGATGCAAGCAACCGTGAGAGTCTACGGAAGATTGATCGTCCTCTGCATCGGGATTTCTGGGAGCGCTTCCAACGTTGCTTAGACATCCTACGGGAGAAGCGCCATGTCCAGCGCACTGTTTTCCGACTCACCTTGGTCAAGGGATTCAACGTCGATGATGAAGTCATCGGCTACGCAAATCTGGTGGAAAAGGCACTTCCGTGTTTCGTTGAAATAAAAGGTGTGACGTTCTGTGGTACAAGCACCAGTGCTGGAGCTGGCTTGACAATGCAGAATGTGCCTTTCTACGAAGAAGTCGCCCAGTTTGTCACTGCTCTCGACGCGGAGCTGCAGCGCCGTGGCCTGAAGTATGGCATCGCCGCGGAGCATGCGCACAGTTGCTGTGTGCTGATTGCCTCGGAACGGTTCCACGTCAACGGCAAATGGCACACTCGGATCGATTATGATCGATTCTTCGAGCTTTTGGAGAAGGAGAAGGCCGATGGCACGTCTTTTACTCCCGAAGACTACATGAGGGAAACCGAGGACTGGGCACTCTGGGGTAATGGTGGTTTCGACCCGAACGATAAGCGTGTATACACCAAGGGCAAGAAGAAGAATATGCAGATCACGGTAGAGCCTTGAGGAGAGGTGGTCAATAGCTCTACCAAGAATTATATGCCAACTGAGGCCGCCTGTTTGCAATCTACTTGAAATGTATGGTTGCCACCGTGCTACTCCGTCCACAAGACAGTTCTAGCAGAACGAAAAAGCATACCGCAAAGGCGTCGGGCTGTGCCGTCCGGTTTCATCGGCCTGGGGCAAGTACGACAACGATAGGGGCCGTCTTCAAGTCACAGGGTCCCTGCACTAGGGGTCGCACGTCCGGTGGAATCCTCGAATTCAAAGAGCCAGCCTTCTCCCTGCAACCTTCTATCTCTTGTTCTCCCTTCCCTATGTTGCCACCACAAAGACACAGACCCCGTTCCTCACGAACGCCTCAGGAGCAGGTCAACGCACAAAAAGTCAATTCAATCCCCATTAAAAAGCAATGGTTGAGCCATTTTTATCAGGCTCTTTGTGAGGGAGGTTGGATCGGTAAGACTCATAGATAATGGGAATGGGACAATCTCTGTCAACGTCTTCCATGGGACAGGGATGGCATTGCATCTAACTGAGGAAATGAGGACATAGCGGAGGACCTGTAGAGTTAGCTACTCCCACAACAGATGCGTACCTTGCTACCTAGAATCAATGAGTCACAGTTGTAAGGGAATCCTATATCTGCAGAGCCAAACAAAGTATCAATCACAATAATGGCGCTGGGCCGAGCACCGGGCGGCCACTCAGTATTGAAATTCTAAACCTCTACGACTAACACCGAAGTCTTTACTATAACTATCTACCCCGTGGAGTTATAGCGGATCATATGTCTAGAAGCCGCGAGCACAGTCGATTCCCTAGAGCATTTGAATCCATTTCTTCCCAGCCAGACACACGGTGGTCTGTGGCTGACTCTAACTGGTAGAAAGCTATTGAAATAATGCCAATCATGGCTCTGGCTCTGCTGCCTTTGATCGTATCGAGATTTCTGCAATTCAAGTTTTGTCACTGATATTCTCCAAACTGGAAAGGGATGTAGTCTTCCACAGCTATCCCGTCTAGTATTTGTGCATCTGCATCAGTGCTAAGCTTCCTTATATACAGATTTTTCCACCAGCCGGATTGGAATTCATTGCTTTGTGTCAACTATAAGGCGCCTGTTGCATATTTCCCAAAAGAATTAAGATGCACGAGGCACGTTCTTCGAAGGACAAGGTGCCACGATGTATACCGGAAACTCAACTTCCAAAACTCGAGTTACGGCCTAGATTTCGAGAAAGTCCACAGCTCAGTCCTGATTGAAAAGAACAAAAACGGGGAGAAAGAGATCCACCTTACATTTGCCAAACCAAACCCGAAACCAAGCCGTATCTGGAGCTTGTAAGAGCGGCTGATATTGCAGGTTTCGAATGTCGGTGTCAGCGTGCGCGGTAGCCGATGGTGTTTCCACAAGTCGTCCTCAAGCCTCATTGTCGACCCTGCGGATGTGCCATAGACATATGGTCGTTTGTGCATGTTGCTAACTGTTTGCAGGACGTGGAGTTGTATGTCGGTTTCGACGGATCCATGTGCTCGTACCTCGGTTGTTTCGATTAGCATTGACTGGAAGTCGTTCAGGATGGGGTCACAGGCTGGCCCGTTGATTCTCGTCATGTATACCGATAGAGGGATGGGCTCGCCGAGAAGGAGACACGCTCCGTCCGAGAGTCGGACATCAATCTGGTAACTTGTCGGTAGGGATTTTTCGAGATTTCCCGGATTGAGGATGACTGAACGTCTTTCTATGAGGGCATGTGAGGGAGGGTTGAAGTCCGTAACCGGATAGAAGGTTATACCTCGAGACTAGACAAGGTTTAGATCTTTGGCCTATGAGAGTAACATGGCACGGGGACGCTCAACTATGATGATCTCTGATCCCCTAATTATCGCACCGGTCCTGATAGTTGCTTTTAGCGAGTAGGTGATTTCCCCAGCGCTGTCTCGACCTTTAACAGTGGAAGGTGGAAGTCTTCGAAGTAAATGTATAGTTTGGTGGTTCTTTTTCGGTAGGGTTCCACAACTGCCTCGAGAGGGATTTATCTCTGTGCTGGTTCTATAGCATTCCGAGACTTGAGGAAACTAGGGATTGCAAAGAGATGTTAACCGCAGAGTTCAAATCTCAAGGCAGGGGCACATTGCCTACTGGAATGGAGAATGAAAAGGCATATGTTCCATGACCGAGAGTAAAGTACGAAGCCATGTCGAGATTTCCTGGAGAAGGAGGAGGGAAGACTCGCTGTGTCTTCTGAAACAACTGAGAGGCATTAGCACAACCCGCGCCAATTCCATTGCCAGAACCTGCCTTGTGCGATTCCTTGCGCCCTGAGCCAAGTCTGGACAATGCTGAGCCAGAGAGGATAACTTGTATTGCTGATATATCAACTGATGATCTGGTGTGAATGATTAAGCGCCCAGAGACTGTGTCCTGGTTTGTATAGGTTGCCTCCCTCTTATCCAGCAGTATTTGGACGTCCATTTGAGCAGACAAAGACAGGCAGTGTCCTAAGCGGGACAACATGAAGGATGAAAGCGACACCACAATAGGCTTAGGTGACAGCAGAAGAGTCTGAGTGATTCTAACGATCAACTTCTACCAGATCAGATAAGGCAAGAATATATCTCTAAACAAGAAGCGTATTGCCAAAGAAGAGACGAAAACACCATGAGCTGGGATTTTTCTTTTTAATTTAACTGGATGAATATAATGAGTTTTTTCATAAGCTATTTAACTGCCCTGCCCTCATCTGGAGGCCATGTTGAGCGCTTCAGCTCACCTGAAGCCCATACCATCGTGTAGCGGCTTCTTGTTCCTAGACTATGATGACGAGCCGATGGGCGGCGAATCTCCACATAACAGAGAGGGTCCCGAATGCCAAGTGCCGGAAAGCCGACTATATTTATTCTTCACAATGACTGGCTCGGCATAAGAATGGAGCCCAAGATGCAAAAGAACTAAAGGATGGTGTCTACATCCATTCTCCTGACAACCTAGCTGCACTATCAGCGATAGTATCGGCAATCTCCGACTGCACATCATTCAACTGCCTGGTCTCAAGATCACCTGCATAAACATAAGGGTGGATATGTTTTCTGCAAGCTAAGCCTTATATTATTATTGTTGTCTTGCACTGGTTAGTTTTTATTTATATGTGTATTTTAAGTCACAATAGCGGAATCGCATAGCCACAGGAACGTGGCGCGAAGACTGTGGGGACAGAGTGAGGCAGGCTAAATTGTCTCCGAGTTTTTTTTTTTTTTTTGTTTCTTGGAAGCTGATTTGACCTTTCTCCTTGCCAGTTGCCATGTTTCATATATCTTGGGCGACTCAAGTGTCTTTGTATAGAAGCACATCCATCCATAAAAGGACAGGAGTGATTCGAAGTTTGTATGTGTGAATCGATAAACTCCAACGGAACTGGGGCCTTCAAGCCAAGAAAAAGAAGTATAAAAAGAATGGAGGCTTCTTCAGGCGCGGGGCGGCTTCTGTCTCAGCACTATTCGGTGGTAAGTTCTCCTAAACCATTAGGGGCCACTCTCCTAATATTGTCTGCAGTGTGACGCATGTCATTCTCGAAAGGTATGGATATCTCAGAATCCGTGTTCAGTTAATTCAGCTATAAATGCACCTAGGAATTTATCCCCATCATCCTAGCCGCGCTTTGACCATCGTTATAGGTGCGATGTGACAGGAATGATCCCTGTGGGAACTGTCAGGACCAAAGAACTGCATGTACTCGCCGACGGAGCAGGAGACGATTACCAAAAAGAATCTCACGTCATGCAGAAATGACAAGCGGTGCGCCTCAGCCGAGCTGGACCTCACCCATTCCGCTACTGCCTGACTCTCGTGGTGGTTCTCTCTTTGAGATAGTTCGGCAAAGCCACACGCCTGCAACAGATAATATCCTTTCCAAGATGGACGACTACAAGATGTCGTTCAAGATCACAGAACAGGGGAATTACCAAGGTCCAGATAGAGAGCACGAGCTCCATAGATGGATCCTGTTAGTTCCGCTGACAGATGCTCAGTTGATGCGACAGCGCCCGCTAGACCGTATACAGGGTCTTACTTGGAACAGGATTCAAGTTATCGAGTCAGCATTCTATGTCGCAAGCCATCTTTCCCAATGTATTGGGAATTTTGTGAGCCCGCTAAACGTCAAAGGACTTAGCGAGGAACAGCCAGAGATACCGTCCGTTGAGTTTCTGACATTGATGTTGAATGGTACAATGGTTTACAGCCCCTTGGCTGTCTGATATCATGGAATACTGACTTAGTCTCGTAGATCTCGGGGGCGACAGATTCGGATCCTTTGTATTGGATTACTTCAAACACGTGTCTCGATCAACACTTAAGCAGATGGGACTGTCACTTCTTCGCAAGACCGCGTCTCCCCAGGAGACTCTCCTCTACACGGTCTGCGTCAATTCAGTGGCCTACAAGTTCATAAATTGTCTGTTGATGAATGAAGAAGACGATGAGCTTTCCCAGATGCTACGGGAACGCGCTGTGAAGTACAAGCGAACGGCCCAGACTGCGTTGAGGAGGATACCCCTCGTGACTTCGCCTTCACTTGCTCTTTTGCAGGCCACCCTTTGCGGCGTGAGTCACATGAAACACCCATTACTCCTGTAGACATCTGACAAGTGAGCAGATTTTCCTATGCCAGGGGTCAGGCGAGACTCAGCTGTGCTGTGATTTGACACGTGTTGCCTGTAGAGTTTGCGTCGATCTTCGCCTCCACGCAGCCGTCAATTGGCAAGGTGTAACTGAAGAAGAGTATTACTGTGCCATGTGGTGCTATATGCTTGACAGGAACTATGCCTGGAAGCTTGGAAGATCCGGCTATTTCCTCAATGTTGAACCAAGCATCGATGATGCTCCAGTCTCCGAGCTTTTCTCAATTTACATGGAGCTGGCGCATGTACAGAGTGTGCTGATTCCCTTCCTTAATGATGAATCTTCCTTGGACAGAGAAACTGCAGGCCAGTCCTTTAGTCATGCACGAATCCAGCTATTTCTGAAAATGGATGGAATTCGGGGCAAGATAGATCAGGTACTCCCATAGTGCATTATTGATGCTATTGACTGAAAGCTGACTCGACCGCCGCCAGATCTCGTCTCCCTCGCCTCGGTGGAAAGGCCTGGATGTCCGCTCCGAAGTCGCGGCGCTCGATTTCGGCTATCATTCCATCATGACCACCATTCTCCATTTAGCCCAAGTGAACTCGGATGAGATCCATGGTGCTGGAGAGCTTTACCTTCAGTCAGCGCGCCAGGAGCTCTCGGCCCTGCTATGTCTGTGTCGACCAAGCGACCAGCAAAGGACTGCCGCTTTTCTGCATTGGTCAGTCTGCTCCCTCCCGCGCATTTGGCATGTTTAACAAATTCCTAGGACTCTGCTTTACTATCCGCTGACTGCCTGCTTTGTCCTATTCTGCAACGCCGTTGCGACATCCCATCTAGGCGACTTCCACCTCTTGAAGACGGTCGCGGACTGCCTGATACAAAGTGGGACAGTCAGTCAACCAATCGCCACACTGCAGCGGCTGTTTCACGAGTTTGTCTTACTATCTCAGACATTTATCAGTGAATCAGACTCAAAAGCATCAGTTGATGACGGAGCGCTTGAGAAGCGATCTGACCTCCCACAAGGAACCCCTCCCCATCGCAGCCCAAGATGTGTATACAGGATGGATGCTGCACCTGGACATCAGGTGTTGTTGTCAGGTGTAGACAACTATTCCCTTGATCCGTCATTCTCTGTGTTTGATCAAATGCTGTCTCAAGGCGAGCTGGCGTTCCTCAATGAATCATATTCTGAAGGAAACCTCGCTAGTGAGATGTATGGCTATCAACAATGTAACTCATGGTCCACTTGAGGTAATATAGAGTATTGTGAGGTCAGCTGTGGTGGTTAGCTGTGGATTTCTCTTCTTGGAAGAGAAATCTTGCACAGACGTGCGCTTCGATTAGGGCTAGATATCTTTATGAAGATATATCCACACTTGATATGCTCTATTAATATCTGATAGCATAGGCCCAGTGATTTAGATTCGTTCAAAGATTTTCCGCCCCCGCCATGCCAGCCTTACCTGATCAAAATTACAAAGCCATTCTCCTATTACTATATCTCACCTCTTCTCTGACATTTACTGAGCAGGCTAGGAGCTGGTAGGCACGCCCTCGGGTTGTGGAACAGGTGGGTTTAGATATGCTGAGGTATTGTAAGTCACGGATGGTTCTTGGAGGTTGCCGTGTGATATTTAGGATCTGATTGCCGTCTAGAATCACATGGAAATGAGCTGTGCAAGGTGCTGTACTTGACACCGCATAAATTTGTCACTGAATTCCTGAATGGATAGCTATCGGCTCATCCCATTATCAGTCACTAACGCTTTATACTTTTTGGGGCCATTTGGGCCTTGGGATATAACAGCCCAAAGGGATTCAGATGTGTCATTTTGGACTGAAGTTATTGAAAAGTGGCCATTCGTAGCTTGCGCTGGTGTTCAAATAAAAATGTATCATCCTACTTGAGGTGGATAAGTATTAATCAGAATAAGTGCTGTAGTACGGCCAATAGAGTGAAGAAGCTTATAGCACTTAGTAGTATTTACTGGGGACATTTATGTAGGAAGAATGGCACACTGTGATCATTATTTTAAATATAATGGTTCAGTAATTATCAGACGTGATTTGATGCTTGTTCAGTGTACATGTGAGCGCCTTTGAATTTCGCGGTAAATACAACCATTTCTACTTATCGGATCCATCCCATGCACAGGAGACCTTATGGAAGCGGACATCAATAGTATCCTCATTATTTCGATCCACAAGGTAGTCGTTCTGGATCGTCAAGTCTTTGAAATTCGATATCCCGTTAGGAGGCTTCAATAGAATATGCATTTTTATCATCTGTATAGCAAGAGCAATGGCCTCCACTAGGGTATAGCAAAGCAACTTAAGGCATTGTTTGCAGCAAGAATACCTTATCAACCAGCGATAGCCTTACGCAAAGCAGGATCAATCTCAGGCAACTGGGCATCAGGAACATAGCACCCATGAAACTGATTGCAGCATAGACACTCTCTCGTACAGTGCCCGTATACAACACCCTTCCGTTTCCCGTTCGACAAGGGAATAAAAAGTTCTCGTAGGGGCTGATTGTAGCACCCACACGCTCGTCCACAGCAGCCCCCGCGCATTGCACAGTCATGCTGGCATTTCTCCCACGCCAGTGTCTGCCCCTTCTCGTTATGCGTAGCTATGAGAAACTCAAACAGACGATACGGCCCGGCATAAGACCCGTTTGGTTGCCATTTCAGTATGTCCTGAAGAGTGCCCAGGTGCTCTCGGTAGAGAATCTTCAGCGTGGAAATCTCCTTGTCTATCGTGGTGCTTGTGTATGGTGGCGGATCGCTGCCATCGCCATCTGATTTGCCTGTCTCCTTGGCACTGAGGGTCTCCAGGGCCTTGATGCGGTGGAGGATCGCAAAGCCTTTTGTCTGCTCTCTCTCATAGATCCCAATCCGCATTTGACAGGTATTTGCCATTGTCGGCTCCCATATGCGATCTTTCGCTGCCTTTTCTTTCAGCTTGGCGAGGGTTTTCTGCGTCTGGGCATGTTGCGTCTGGGCATGCCGGTAGCGCTTTATGAGGTCTGTAAAAATCATTGTGGCGTCTGTACCGTCCGTTTCATTTGCTTGTGTTGTCCTGTGTTGAAGAATGTTGAGGATTGTCCAATGTGCATGAGATGTCAGTCGTTATGGTGTCATAATGATCAGTACATTGTAGTTGTCTGAAGTGCCTGAGAGACCAGGTATCCGTCTATCTATCTATGTCCAAGGTACAATCACAACTTACTCATACTTGTGCAATCTCATCTGGATCCGCCTCGATGACCAGCATTTAAATCACCCACCCATTTCTACTTGAACAGTTTTTCTAGGCAATAGTGTTGTTCTTGACACCATGCCATTTTCTGATGTAGACGGTGTGGTCAAAAGCAGTCTTCAAATTAGAGGATCCTTCCATATGAGCCTTTACATAGAGCCTATCACTATTGCTGCAGTGCTATGTCCCAATGTCTATCCATAGTCCTCCGCACAGCCCGTCCATGGGCACCCCTATGTATATGCTTCCATATACGGGATCAAAAGAATATCTAGATCCTATAAGTAGCTAGGCGGTTCAGTTCCCCTAGACGTCACAAATTTTCCACCCAATGGAAAAGGAAAACATTCCATGAAAAGATGCAATCATTTCCTTTGTGAGCTAATGAGAGCAGCCTCCTTGACCCTGTCCGCTCCGCAATGGTCCATTCTAGTGTATCACTTCCTATCGCGCCTGCGTCACTGACATGTGCTGCGCAACTTCATCCCTGGACGTGGCAACCTCGGCACCTAGTTGTACCTCTTTAAGCGATCAGTACGGCATTGATTGGACAAAAAAAAAAGCATCAAAAACATACAACATGAGGCTGTATGATTGTGGGTTTTCGCTTACCCTCGCAAGTCCCGATTTCGACCCAGCTTCTTCCTCTTCAGCATATTTTTATCTTCCTCGGTCAAACTCATGTCCTTTGTTAGCAATGTTCTCATACGCAGGGGCACCGAGCTGATTTCCTCTCGACTTCGACACCGTGCAGCCTCAAATGCATGGTTGGCTAGGCCCCTTAATCGTCATTCCTACGCCGTTGCATTTGGGCTCGCAATCTTTTGGGTGAGTCGGTATTAGTAAAAGAAAGTCCATCCGCAGTGACGACCGCGGAGCCTCAAATTTGGGAATAAATGTTTATAGGAAGAAAGATACCCAGTGGAGGCCTTTGCAATATTTCGAGGTACAATACTGGAAGTTGTGAAGTGGAAACGGCCTACTTGATACACACGTTGTACGCAACCACATCAGTTCAAACATGTAGTCCCGAGAGAGTAATTACGGAAAATAATACACACGCGCAACAGACTATAGATCAATCTAGAGAGTCGAGTTGATCACCATCACTCGTATCTGTAGCTTGGAGTTCAGCCACCATCGATGAGCCGAGGTATTGTTACCGCGGCCAAGAATGGGGGGAACCGTTGTGGTGTCACCGGGTCTCTTTGCATCCACATATGATTAAAGCAGAAGAGTACGCGTTGTAACCCAGCTATCACTTTAGAGATTACTAGCCATTTACTTGAATATTGCCATACGGAGCAGACAATGTCTTTCCCCATAATTGACGTTTGGGCGAACCCCGTCTTCCCTTTGGGCGTGAGTGAATCAAGTTGCACTTCAAACTATGCTAACAGTCAAACTTGGCCCTAATATAATTTCTCCCTGGCTAATCACGGACTCATGATAATAGGAGGGCGTACCTGAGGTCCGTCGTCTATTCGAACAGTCTCATGCTGATAGCAGCTTGCTATCCCGGAGACGGACACCCGATGAGCTCGTCGCTCTCATGGATGCCGCGGGGGTTTCAAAGATATGCCTCTGCGCATGGTACCGACCAGGGCAAGCAGTCTTCTCCAACGAAGAGGTGGCCCAGTTCACTCGCGCCTATCCTGACCGTTTCATTGGTATTGCCGGTGTCGACCTGCATGATCCGGTCAAGTACGTGCAAGAGGTGGAAAAGTACGTCAAGGTAGAAGGGTTTAAAGGTGTTCGCGTGGTGCCATGGCTTTGGAATCTTCCACCAACGGACAAGCACTAGTAAGTGAATTATCACATTAAGTAGGAAATGCCCGATAGTCGGCTGAGATGTCTGTGGGTAGCTGGCCGCTATATGTCAAATGTATCGAGCTCAATATTCCCTTCGTGAGTACCTTCCACTGCCAACTTCAGGCCCGTGAAGGATGGTTAACCAGTATTGTTTCGTTTCAGCTCACCCAGGTCGGACATACTGGCCCCCTCTGCCCAAGCGAAGTTGGCCGACCAGTACCTGTAAAGTCCCTCAAGGATGCCATCCCATCAAAGCAATTTAGCCAACTAATGCATTCCAGTATATCGACGAGGTGGCCCTGGCATTCCCCTCGCTGTCGATCATCTGTGGACATATTGGTTTTCCCTGGACACAAGAGATGATCGGTGTAGCGTGGAAGCACCCGAATGTCTACATCGACACTTCAGCACATCTACCGAAATATTATCCAAAGGTAAGATACGTAGGCAGTGATGTCTGTGGGAAATTCACTGACATTTACGTCGGCACAGGAACTGATACAGTTTGCAAACACCACCGGAAGAAAAAAGGTCATGTTTGGAACAAACTTCCCCCAATTAAGCTGGAGCAAGTGCATCGAGTCAGCGAACCGGGATATCAGACTGCGGGACGACGTCAAGGCAGATTTCTTTGGCGGAAATGCTGCCAGGGTGCTCAAGCTTGGGGCTGTTGCCTTGAGCAAAGAGAAGCTTTGAAGATCCTTGTGGTGATCTAGCCTGGGAGCTCTCGCCCCAGATGGCCTTGGCTACATGGTCATCGTCACCAATAGAGGGCACCTATCGAGGAAATATCCTTGGAATTGGGTCACCTAGGTGCAAAACTACCTTAAGCCAAGTCTAGCCAAGTCTTCCCTACACTGATGTACATATTCAAGATCATCACGACAATAGCTCTGACTACACCCTTGACCTTTAATTTCCTTCTCAATCACATCGAACCGTCATAGATCTCGTTAAGCTGCACGCAGGAGTGCTGTTTTACTCCATAGTCCAACATCTTTCCCTGTCCTCAACCCGTATTTCATACGAATACGATGGATGGAGTGGAGGTTTCTTCAGCCACATTTAGAACTACCTACGCTGTGACCCCTGCTACCCTGCGTAGCGTGACATGGCGAAGACGCGGATTACCAGATTACCATTTCCAAGGAGGTTGTCTGCTCAGCTTTAGGAAATGTAGCTTTGAATGTTTTGGGCAAGGAATTCCATGGATACAGGCAAGAGTCAGCACTTATGCTTTTATGTCACCATACATAGCGGAGCCATTGGTGCAGAAGTGTTAAGTGTGATTGTATTTGCTTCCACAATATCCGCACTGCACGCTTCGGAGGCATCCATATCATCAATTTCATCAATTTTTCTTTATTGCCGTATTTTCTCCGCCATAAACGATGCAGGATTCTGAGACCCATGAAACTGCAAGGAATGGCAAAAGGTGGAAGAAGACGGGTTGCGACACATTATTCAAATCCCTCGACGTATTGAAGGATCGAAAGTGATAGACAACGTTATAGAACCTCAGCATTGTCGGGCACAGAATAAGACAACACATGATGCATTCTTAACTCTCCCAAGGGAATCATACTTCACTATCACTCTCACATTGAGAGCCATTCGGAAATGGATGGTCAAGCCAGAGGCAGGAGCCGATGGGAATTGCATCAAAGAAACGAAACTACAACAGACAGGATATGGGGATGCTCCCAAAAAGGCATAGGAATTTAGTATTTTATTACGCTTTAATTTGCATTCTGGTGAGTGTTTTTCTTCCAACTCAAGTCAAGAGGCAAAGCAGAATGCCATAATCCACAGCTTTTCTCAATGGAGATCACAGCTAACGATTACGGCGACTCGCAAGATACGCAGCAATTCGGGGCCGACCTTCGAATGCTGCTTTGAACTCGGTGAGACGTTCTGGTAGAGCATCTGGTAAAGCTCCAATCTGCGAGTCGTTGTCGATGGACTGATAGACGGCAAAGTCCGCATAAGTGATCCTCTCCCCGAGAAGGAAAGGACCACTGTTCTCCGCGTAGAATTTGTCCAGCGCTTTGTAATAGCTAGGGACAAACGCCTTATACTCGTCAGTCACGCTTTTTATGTTCTTTACCCATTGGACCTAAAGCTCGGGTCAGTCCAGGTAACAAGTTTCGTCATTTCGGTTCTTCAGTAAAATCAGGCTTACTCTCCAGTCATTGTACATGTCGGCAACAGCATCAACGAGATACTTTTCAATACTAGTATCGCCATCATATGAGCCGAGCTCCCTGGCTAGGTATCGAAGAATTGGAAGATGCTGTTGCACCCTGTCAGCAGGTGCTATAATCTGCATATGACGAAAATTTACCTGTCTTAGGACCTTTCCCTCATACTCAAGCACAGGTACTTTGCCAGTGACTGACAGTCCCTTTTCTTTGAGTTCGGCGCTGGTTGTTGGCCAAGAATCATCATAAGCGTACCGAACATCCTCGAAATCGACCCCGGCGTCTCTCAAAAACAACCTAAACAGGTGCCCTTGGTCAGCGACTGTTCTCCATTCGACGCACAAATCTGGTACTGCTACGCCTACCGAATAACTTCGCCACGGCCAAGAGAACCGATGTCCAAGTAGTGAAGGGTGGTTTTGGTGGTAGGAAGCGGCATTCTGAACTTTGGATTTACTGTCACTGCTATCAGATTTCAGAGCAATGTTGCTGAGAGCAACCTTAGTCCAGCTAGTGGAACCAACCGAGTTTATATAATTTCTGCCAAACCCATCTCTAAACTCTCTGGCTCTCCTCCAGATGTGTGGCTAGGCTTGTCCTGGTGCCACGAATCCATGACAACGTCATCGGTTTCGGATTGCTTACATAATCTGATACGATATCCCCGCAATATCCGCTCTTCCACACACTTCTCTTGAAGCGACCAACTGTGTCCCATTTTGGTTTTGGTGCTATCGGCGCTGGCAGTCAAACGCTGCTTCTTTTCCCCGATAGATGATAGATAAATTATGCCTACGTCTGCACAACTGAAGCGGAAGCGCTCCCGGGTGGCCTGTGAGCCATGCCGGGAGCGGAAAAGGAAATGCAACGGAGGGAACCCCTGTATGACATGTGTGAACTGGGGTTACGAATGTTTCTATGAGGGGCATTTCGAACCGAAAATCTCACGCTTATCCGAGTCTGCAAGGCCGACATTGCTAGAGGAGCCGCCTGCCGAACGCCTCAGCCAAGGAAGGGAACCGGCAGAACTCCAAAATGTTTTCCGATGTATTGAGGCGAATTCTGGAGCGGCTTTCGTCAGGAGGATGGGCCTCAAAGTCGATCCAGCGAATGCACCCAAGTTGAATCTCTTTGGGTGGAATATCGGCCCTCGCCAATTACCGTCTGGCCTAGGACCTATCTGTGCCTATCCAATCGTCGATATTCTCTCTCGTACAGATATGGAGTCACTGGCGGGCATCTACTTTTCTAGAGTACACCCATGCTATGGCTTCATCGATCGTCAACAGTTTTATGAGCGCCTGGATGCCCGGTGGGCTTCACCCCTCACCAGAGACCCGTACGATGGTGTTCTCAGCGGTGTCGCAGCACTAGGGTCCCTGTTCTCCGAACGGAGCGCGACGATTACTGAATTGAACCTAGTGGAGGCTGCCCGGTCCATTCTTGACATTAATGGCTTAAGCGGCACACCTTCCGTAGATTTTGTGACAGGCTGGACGCTTCGCGTGGTCTATATGCGGATAACCGCTCCACCCCATTCTGCATGGATCGCAAGTTCCACCTTGATGCACCTCATCGAGGCATCGGGTCTTCACTTGGAATCCTCCTTTGAAACAGTCCTTTCCCGCGGCACGCAGTGCAATCAAGATCTTCAAAGACGGCTTGTTGGCGTGGCACAGCATTTGAATATGTGGATTTCCTACGATTTAGGTCTTTCCAGGGTGTCACTTCAAAGCAGCTTACCATCCCTCCCGGTACCAAGGCCCGATGATTATACTACCGAGCTTCTGGGTTTGCTTCCAGCAACAGCAAACCTGGACCCAGAAAAAGCACAAGATGGCAAAGACCTTGAATCATCGCTTCTACAGGTCTTGAGCAGAACTCATACAGAACCTCCCTCCGTCCTCGCCCAATGCAATCTTCTGCTCTGTCTCCTTCGACGCCTATGCGCATTACACGTCAACATCTCGACTGTTGCGAATGGAGATATCCTTTCATTACTGAAGAAAGGTCTCCAAGCGGCACGCACTCTGGTTGTGAACTGCTGTCCGTGGCAGCATATAGCCAACGTACCATTCCACACTATTTGTATTCTTCTCGACATGGATACCAATTCATCCCTTGAAGTGCTCCCAGAGGCTATGCAGACCCTGAAGCTTGTTGCATCCAGTTACAATACCAGTACAGTAAGGGAAGCCTATGATACCGCGCGTTTGATCGTTTTTCTCTATCAGAGGCGAAGGTCTGAGGATGCCAAATTTCTGAGGGATCTTTTGGACAAATGTGAGGAGCAACCGGAGTCCAGTCTTTCTTCCCGTCAAATTGGCTCCGCCTTCGAAGAGGTATCGTGGCTGGAGGGTTTGATCGCCGACATGCCAAGTTTGCAAGGGTTCGATCTGAGCCAGTTCTTACAGGACCAGTCACCCGGACCACCTCTAGACACTGGTCTTCCAGAGCCGACATATTTGCCATAAATCGTGCTGCGCGGGCTTTTGTGTCTTTGCACTACGTATGTGCCGATCGTCCTATGTTGTCGCTACATAATATTTTATAAAGATTCCCGCGGAACAACTCAATCCTGGGTGATTTTCCTGCTGGATGCCAGTCATATTGGCGTTTATGCCTATTACATCGCTCACCTCTAAGTAGTAGGCTTGGGTTGTGCAATTATATACTTGGTCGTTCTTCGTCCCTATCGGCTGCTAGTAGGCGATGCTTTGAGATGTCTACTTTCCACGACTTGCAGTGCCTGGGACATTCCAACAACATCACATCGCCCGTGAGTGATAGGGAGTTGGGAGTGCAAGGCATGATAATGTATCATTCGATTACAAGCACACCTTTTGGGGCCGAAATAAATCCTCTATATTTGGCTCTTGCCCATCAATTGCCCCGTCAGATCTGAGTTCTATAGACTCTATAATTGTACCAACGCGCCCTGGGGATCATATGAATAGATATTTATCGTCTAGCTTGGAGAAGAGAGTCAGTACAACCTGTGGGGGCCAGTCTGTTCAGTCCCCGCAATAACCGCGGTGTTCCGCGGCGTTTATACTAGAGCCCTAATAGATATTCTTTTCACTACCCTATAGACACAACAACATGGAGGGCGAGGAATCAGGACTCTTCTATAGAAGTAAATAAATTTCCAGCAAGCCCTGGACGGTGTCCGCGTCACTCTTTTTCACTCCCCCGCTTTGTTCACAATAAAAGTACTCCAGCATCCCTGGCCCGACTTATCCTTCGCACCACATACCCCCTGTTACAATGGAGTCACCAAAGTATTACGAGAGCAGTTCTGGCCTCTCTCAGATGAGCGACACGAAGGAGACCATTGGCCGCCCGAATCCCTCACAAACGATCACTGATCGCCTGCAACAACAACTGACGATCGGTTCGAGCCATGGAAGTACTAAGAAAGACAATCGACCTTTAACCATCGGGGCTGGAAAGGCGTTTCCACCGCCGCTGACTGACCCAGAGAACTATGTTGTTGACTTTGATGGGCCCGACGATCCGGAGCACCCCTACAATTGGAATTTCGGTTTGAAGTATGCCCCATCGCGTGCTTTGGTGCGGTGACGTGGATTCTGACAATATCCTGTGCTATCCAAGGCTCCGTATTTCAGCAATTGCTTGCCTTGGTACATTCACAGCTTCATTCACTAGTGCGATCTTTGCTCCAGGAGCTGGTCGTGCAAGCAAAACATTCGGGGTGGGCCCTGAGGTTGGCACCCTCGGCACGACGTTATACATTCTCGGATTCGCATCTGGTCCGTTGATCTGGGCTCCTACATCCGAGTTAATAGGGCGACGATGGCCGTTGACTATCGGCATGCTGGGCGTTGCTATCTTCACCATTTCCGCCGCAGTTTGCAAAGATATCCAGACGTTGATTATCTGTCGCTTTTTTGCCGGGCTCTTCGGTGCCAGTCAGCTCTCCGTGGTCCCCGCGGTGCTATCGGATGTCTATAATAACGCCCAGCGTGGCACTGCTATTACCATCTACTCTCTCACTGTTTTCGTGGGCCCCTTTAGCGCACCGTTCATTGGTGGCTTCGCCGCATCAAGTTCTCTTGGCTGGAGATGGACACTATATATTTCTGCTTTTATGGGCTTTGCCAGTGTTACTCTATTTATCCTCTTGCTGAAAGAAACTTATGCGCCAATTTTACTCGTTGCAAAGGCAGCAGCGATTCGACGACAAACATTCAACTGGGGTGTCCATGCAAAGCTTGAGGAGGTTGAGGTTGATTTTCATGAGCTGATTCAGAAATACTTCACACGTCCGCTGAAGATCCTTATTACGGAACCGATTGTCTTGTTGATTTCCCTCTATATGTCGTTCATCTACGGGCTGGTGTATGCGCTTCTTGAAGCCTATCCATACGTGTTCGAGTCCGTCTATGGAATGAATCCCGGGGTCGGTGGTCTTCCATTTGTTGCCCTTATCATTGGCCAGCTCTCAGCATGCGGATTTATCATTACACAGAATTCGACTCACGCGAAGAAGCTTGCTGCGAATGGCAAGGTTGCAGTCCCTGAATGGCGCCTGTCTCCAGCTATTGTCGGTGCTCCCGTGTTCACTGTTGGCATTTTCTGGTGAGTTCCCTATCTGGAGACAGTTGATAGACCGCAAGCTTACGCATGTTTCGAACTGAAGGTTTGGTTGGACGAGCTTCACTTCTCGCATTCATTGGATGGTTCCAACCGCTGCAGGGGTGCTTATTGGCTTTGGTGTCTTATGCATTTTCCTCCCCTGCTTCAACTATCTCGTCGACTCCTATTTGCCTCTGTCAGTCTTGATCTAATGCCGTCCGTTACATGTCGCTGAAAACTGATTAATTGTTCTTCCAGAGCCGCGTCAACCGTCGCTGCAAATATTATTCTCCGATCCGCCGTTGCGGCCGGGTTTCCGCTGTTTTCAAAGCAGATGTTCGAAAGATTAGGAGTGCAATGGGCGGCTACTCTACTCGGCTGCCTGGCTGCAACTATGATCCCCATTCCTCTCGTCTTCCGAGCCTATGGGCCGTTACTGAGAAAAAAGAGCCAGCTGGCGCCATGAATCCATGGGCTCGTTGCCATCACCGCATCAATTACGATCTAGCGGAACACCTTTTGGGCTTACCTGTCTTCCAAGAATATTGGGAATTTTAGCATGAACCGTATATATCATGTGTTGGAATCAGATATCAACAATATACCACCTGTTATGTACAACATGAGGGGCATCCTGTTCATAGTCTCGCAATACACATCGTTCTCCGCATTGTACATATTCCAGATCCCAGGTCTACAATCTCATCTTCGAGGAAAGATCGAGTAACTATCTCTTGGAGGATGGAGTGGAATGATATCGTGATATTGGCTACCTAGAACTCGCTAGGAGAGCAAAAGACGGGGCTACCTATCTGCTAGGGTAGATAACCCTACGCGGACGAACGTCGGGCCGTCAGCCCTGGTGCGACTCCTACAAGAATAGCGACACTCCACTTTCGCGCCGTGCCGCCATGCCACCGTGCCAGGCACAGCCGTTGAGGACACTGTCGCGTGACACAGGCTGTTCAATGCCGCATTTTTGCCCCTATGCGGGGAATCGAACAGCATAACTCAGCTGCATCAGAGTCATATGTGCGGGGGTAATGGAATGCTGTTTCGGCCAGGCCGCTGTTGTAGAATGCCATTGCTGTTTCAGCCATGGGACTCCTTTCTCAGATTTGGCTTCCGTACCTGGCAATCTTTAGCAAAATTACTTATAATTAGATATCTGTTGTATATACGATGGCGCAATCTGCCGAGGCGGACTGCTTCCGAGTTCCTTTTTGCGGCGCAGGCAACCTGCAGCATCATTCACCACTGAAATGCTCGGGCTGTATAGCGCCCCCACCCAAGTCAGCCTAGTCTGTCCAGATAATTTCCACATAAAAAGGTTCTTCCCGCAGTCAGATTTAAGATCTATTATCAAGAGTATATACGTACCTACTGAAGCCAAAACCATGCGCGACAACGGTGCTAACGTCGACTCCACGGATGGTCCCAGGACTCCCGTGAGGAGCCCCAGGGCCTCATCCAACCCTCTTCAGGACCATGTTCTACCCTCTACCGAGTTCACCTTCTCCTGCAGCCCCTCATCTGCAGGTAGGTTGACCCCGGTATCCTCCGTAGATGGCTCGCTTGATCCCCAAGTCGAACACCGCTCCCTCACACCAAACACCCAGTCCCTCTTCCAGAACTTGCGCCTGAGCGAAACCATGAGACCTCAAAATCATGGCTCTGAGTCTAGCCCTAGCAATGGCCCAGGAGAGTCCCGGCTGACCCCAAACACTCATCATACAACCTACCGGGACCTCTACAATGCCACTCCTAGTCCAGGGGTTGCTCGCTCCACGGAGCCGACCCAACGGCCACCGCGGACGCCAACGTCTCCGCTGGGCGTTGTGAACGCTCAATTGCAGAACCTGAACGTAGCGGACTCGGGGGATTCGGAAGTCAGCGATTCAGATCATGATAACGATCCTGAATCAGACGATTATCTCTACAATATCCGCCAGGAGGAACTGCCCCAGGTGCCTATCTACGACATTCGGCTCCAGAGTGCTCTGCGAAACGTGAGAGGCCAGCTCGCAGACCTCGCGCAAGTTATGAGTAGGCGCGAGCTGGCTCAAGACCCCACGACCGCCTTTCATGAATTGTATAAACAGACGCTCGAAGCGAGCGGGTTCGCGTATCCCGCCACGCGGACTGTTGGGTTTATTGGTGACTCGGGAATGGGTAAGCTGTGGGCTCAGGCTGCGAGGAGATCAAAGGCTAATCAAGCCGACAGGAAAGAGTAGCCTCATCAATTCTATCCTTGATCAAGAGGGGCTGGCTCGGTCGGTAAGTCAAAGTCTCGACTTTTCGGCGCCCGGTGAATGATTTCAGGTACTGATTGCAATGTCCCAGAGCGGAGACGGAGCTGCTTGCACCACCGTTGTTACAGAGTTTCGAAGTGTGAACGAGGAGCACCCGCAAAATTATACCGTCGAAGCCGATTTCATGGATAATGCCGAGATTCGCGAGCTTCTAGAGGAGCTCCTCTCAAACGTCAGGAAGTATTACACAGATGCCTACCGGGAAGTTGTTGACGCAAGAGAACAAGAGCACATCAAGGCTGCTGCCAAGAGAGCCTGGGACACATTGCTCTCACTTTTCCCTAACCAGCCCGGACTTGATCTCGACTTCCTTTCTAGGGACGGAGAAGATGCGGTAGAGTCTATTGTGACCACATTGGAAGAGTGGGCAATGGCTGGTCTAGACCACCGTCCTGGTGGGCGCGACAGTCTTCGGTATACCGTTGTGGCTCGCCATGCCGATGAGTGTATGGAGCAGTTGGATAATCTCATGGCTGATTCGAGGGACGGCGATAGGCCGGCTATATGGCCTTTCGTCAAGTTGATCAGGTTTGAGAGAGAACCCAGTTTGCTGAGTGGGTTTATGCGAGTCTAACGGCGACTAGGGTCTATTTGCGATCGCCGGTTCTGCGCACTGGTTTAGTCCTGGCTGACCTCCCTGGTAAGGCATTTCTGGCTCCGTATCATTTTACATCGAGACTGACGTACGTTCAGGGTTTCGGGATCTGAACTATGCTCGAGAACGAGCAACAGAAAGGTATCTTCGTCACAGTTGCGACGAGGTGTTCATTGTTAGTACGATCATTCGTTGTACGACAGACCAGTCGATTGGTGATATCATTCGCCGATGTGCACAAGGTCAACCGATACGGATCGTTTGTACTCGTTCAGAGGCAGGCTCCCCGTTCCCAACCTAATCGGACAGGAACTAACGGGCCAATTCCAGGATGTGGATGCTAAAGAGACGGCACGGACATCCTCTGCGGGTGACGCCAGACATATCCTCGATCTCGACAGCCGAATTCAAGCCCTCGAACAAAACATCAGGCATACGCGGTCCCGTCGCCGACAAGCTAGCGGAAGCAGAAATCAAAATCTCGCTGCGGAGGAAACTACCCTTCGGTAAGTTAGCCTGACCTATTGCGGTTGGGACAACATTCTAACGATGGTATTACCAAAGCGATGAGAAAGAGGCGCTGGAATTCGAGTAAGTCGACCCCTTTTTGTTGCACGGGTTGAGATTTTGTGCTGACCGAATGCTGGTCAGACTGAAGCGCTTCCTCATTTTAAGACGGAATAGACGCGTAACCGAGGCTTTATCGCGTGCCTGGAGAAACCAAGCCCGAATATTTTGCGTGAGCAACAAGCTCTACTCAGACCACCGTACAAACGATCCCGAGCAAGCCAATGGATACCTCGAGCTCAGTGGTATCACGGAGCTTCGTCGCTATTGCCAGTCAGTTCCAGCAGATGCGCAGCTTCGTGCAACGGAATCATTTCTGCAAAATCAGGTACCCGCGCTTCTAGGTTCTCTAACTCAATGGGCATTAGCGGGTTCTGATTCCGTTACTGCAAGTCGGGCTGAAGTCCTGCGCGGTGCCTTGAATGAAGCCGAACAGACTCTCCAACGGGTACGGTGACTGTCTTCTCGCGCAGCCGCTTCCTTCTTTATCCCATCGAGCTTTGGAACTGCTTTGGTAGCTTTGAAGTGATGGTCAAGAGAGCATGATTGCTGACGCCTTTTAGAGCATTGTCTCTCCTCGATCGTGCCTCCGCCTTGCGCAGAACAGTCTAGAGCGAGAGTTTAATGATTTGATTGTACAAACTATACGTCCGTATCGAACCTTCCTTTAGCTTTTCCGAGAGGTTTCATAGTAACCCCAGCGCAGGCCGCTCTCGGAACAATTGGAGAGATCATGCAGTCGGCGCGAGCAGGGAGTGGGCAACTGTAAGTCAAAGAGACGAATGAAATGGCGTACAATTTTGTACTTATAGGATCTGCCAGTGGCACCATTCGACGTACGCCGCATGGTGTCGCAACTATGGGACGCACCAAACGGCGAAGCAAGAGTATCGCTGCTGGAACGAAGAAATCCTCGGTCAGGGAAGTGATCAACTCTCCACCAGATGGGATGCCATGCTTGGTTGGCTTGAAGAGAAGAGAGATGAGCTTGACGAGGAGCTGTCTAGTATGTTTCAGAACGTTTGTGACTCGATTGAAGGTAGGAGTTCCACGTTTCAACCAGCCTCAAGGACGGCGACAGACCCAAGCTTTGTTTGGCTGACCACGCTCGTTAGAACACCATGACATAGCACCGGAGAGTCTGGGAAATTTGCGCTTGAATATGGAAACGCGGCAAAGATGTATACTGGACGCCATCCATAGCTCCTTGGATGACCTAATTTATGCAACTGAGTATCTCACCCACGGCTTCTAGCTAACTCAGAGCATGACTGACCTGCGATCAGGAAAATCGAGTCCGACGCAGTAGGCGGACACGCTAGCTCCTATATTGCGGGCGTCATGCGTCCGGTGTATAACACCTGCAGGGAACAATATGGTATGATATCGAGAATCCTAGATTCTCACATTACTCTCAACCACGTTCTCTTGTACTAACCATGCACTGCGAACTCTAGGAACGGGCAGTGATGCCAGACGCAAGCAAGCCATGAACCGACATCTTTCATCCTCTGCTTTATTTTTGCAGTTCGCCAACACACTGACAGGTGACTATCGTGAGCTTATTGAGAGGACTTTTGCTCAGCTCGATCAAAAGCTTCGGGAAGAGATCGCGAGTATTACTAGGGATTTGCGAGCTTCACTCACAGTAGAGGGACAGACATCGGAGGCTGGGCAGGACCCCCAACACACAGAAGAGTTAAAGCGGAGGGTGCGTGTAATCCAAGACGCATTGGTTCATGCCCAAAGGGTTATAAGGGAAGTTCGGCAGTGATGGTAGAGTCAGAATGAATGCAGTCATTGTTTCTTCCTTTGTAATACGGTAAGATGGTATATTTGGGTAGAGGTTCTTATGCAATGGTATTAGCAAACAGTGTCTTAGATGCTATTAGGGGCCTGTGGTGTCACCACTAAGGCAAGGCACCTGCGAGGACTTGGAGTTTTATGAAAACATTAAGTAAAGCAAGCAAGTTGATAGCTGCTACCTGGGTTTTTATCTCATTTGCTGCATTGTGCTAAGACGCCTAGTTATCACCTCACACCAAAGAGCTGACCCGAAACAGAAATTGCTAGCGGTCAGGTGAAGGGTCGAGTTAAAGGAAGAATATTATTACTATCTGTATGCAGGCCTACTTAATTTTGCCTTTTTTTGAGCTACTTAAGAGCCTGAATCCCGAGGATACCCCTTCACTTTGTTTTTTTCCGCCCGAAGGATCAGCATGCTATTAAAAATATATTAGAATTTTCTCTACGATATGCATTCCGTGCGGAATAAAGATGAAAGGGGAGTATGAGGAAGGCATGTTAAAAGTATTAGATAAGAAATAAAATGCATTGGGTTATTTTCATAGAATAGGCAAGCTGAGGCACACTTTACGCAGGAAGCTGTATACAAAATAAGTGTTGAACCCATTCGATGCCGGTCGTATTCCGTACAGGGGTGAACCATGCCTGAACATTCTCAGAATCCTGGCATAGGGTTCTTTAGCAGGCATCTGTTTTTGGAAAGCTAATCAACTACGTTCTAAGTAAGTTAAAGAATATACCAATTCAGCGCTTGGCAACGTTTGGACTGTAACTCATGGTGATTTGCTTTGATTCTACCCCCCCAGGTAAGCCACCGCCATGATAAAATGACCTGCTCAGCCAACTAAACAAATGTCCTTCGTCCACGAGGACAGTGGTGTGTCCATGTCCGTGTCCAGTTTCCGAACAATTCGAACCAGTCCGTCGACTATGGCACGCGCCGTCTCCAAGGCCATAATGTGAGTATTACTCGCGAGCTCGAGGAAGAACGTATCGCCTTGGGTGTACGAGACCATGTGTATGGACGTGGGCACGAGATGAGGGTTTTGGAAAAACTGCACGCGCGATGCGCCGCCACCAGGAACTCGAATATCCGGGTACTCGTCAATGTTCTGGTGTTGGATCGTCGACTCAAAAAAGGCTGACCCTGCGGAGGCGGGCCAGTCGGTGCAGTTCTGTATGATCTCCTTGTAGCCAAGGGAGTCTGCTTCCCCGACGGCGAGGAACTGCTCCTGAACGGATCGCAGCAGGCCAGCTGGCGTCTGAGACGATGATGTGAGCTGCTTCACTCGTACGGGGATATAGTCAAGACAGCACCCAACAATCTCCTCGACGCCTGGAATTGCCGAGTTGCGGCCTGCCACCAGGTGTCCGTAGACGACGTCGTCTTGGCCAGTCAAGCGTGATAGGAGCAGCGCCCATGCAGCGCTCGCTAGAGTTGCTGGGGTGATCTTGTTCGGAAGGCGGGGGAGCTTTGTCTCTGCGCGAAGATGAATTGCCTTTAGCTGGGGCCTTTCGAGAGCTCTTTGGGCAAGAAGCTGTTTGTGCAGACCAGTCGGGCGTGCCCCTTGTAGCAGCTCTGTCCAGTAAGACAGAGACTGGGACCGTCGACGGGAGGCATACGACAGGAACGTGGAGAACGTTGGGGCCGCAGGGTTTGCCCCATTATTGCCGTTCATGAACGACTGAACAATGGTAGGGAGGCAAATGCCGTCATACTGGGCATGGGAGATGCGAATCACTAGGCGCATGCCGTGCCCCTCGCGTCTAAGAAGCACTACAGCGAGAGGAGGTTGAGTCGGGGAGACCGTGTGAGCATCACCGAGGCAGAAGTCGCGGAGGGCTACGTCAAGGTCCTCACTGACATCCTGCACGCGGAAAGGATGCTTGATCTGATTGAGCACGACCTGCCAGAGTTTCCCTCGAAGCCACAGGAAACAAGCACGAAGGATGGGAAACCTGTCCAAGGTCTGATTGCAGGCCTCCTCCAAGAGAGAGACGTCAATATCGGCGCTCAAATCCAGGTACATGTAGTTCGCAAAGCGTCCGCATGTCGTCGCATCAACGGCGCTGTGTCCTTTGACGCAGGTTACGGGATAGATCCCCTCTACGAAGCACCTTTCCTGGACGCTGGTTACAGGCCAAATGTCTGCAACGTCTTCAGAGCGGAGCCCTAGGTCCATGGAGTCGACCTCCTCCAGGAGAGCTTTCCTTGTGCAGGAATCAACGAGCACCGCCTCGTCAGGTTGGCCAACGGTCTCTGCCCCATCCAGATCCTGTCCACGCACCAACGCTGCCAGGGTCTCGTGGCGGAAAACGTCTGCAACCGTCACATTCATGCGAAGCTTGCGAGCCTCGCTGACGAGGCGCATGGACGAAATAGAGTCGCCACCCAGGCGGAAGAAGCTATCGTCCAAGCCAATCGTGTTTGCACCGATATTCAGAACCTTGGCCCAGATATTCTGCATCATCTGCTCTGCTTCGCAGGTAGGCTGCCGCTTGGGCCCGCATCCAGCGGTCCGCACTTCTGCAAGCTGCTCCATGGTAAACTGGGCTCCTATGTGCCGCAGTCGTCGCCGGTCAGTTTTGCCCGTCGCCGTCATCGGGAGCCTGGACAGGGAGAAGATAACCGATGGTATCATGTAGGCTGGCAGGTGTTCGGCCATCTTGCCCTCCACCTCCGGTGGGACAGGAAGGATCTTTACGGCAGTACCAAGCTCGTCTCGCTCTGTTGGCTTGTCCTTGAGCTGGAGGAATATAACAAGCAGCGAGCTATCCCCTTGCAGCTTAATGACATCGGCCACGACGTGGGTTGCCTCTGGCATGTACTTCTGGAACCAGTGCTGGACCTCCCCTAGTTCAACCCTCTGCCCGCGGATCTTGACTTGAGTATCCTGCTTGCGGCCGCTAAACACCAGGTCGCCACTTGCATTATACCGTGCCAAGTCGCCTGTCTTGTAGAGTCTGCCGTGTCGGCCTGGGTGCTTGCCTGGAGAACCCGCGAGCAGCCATGCAGGGTCCTCAATGAACGCTGCGTCAGTCTTGCCCTTGTCACCTAGGTAGCCGAGACCAACCACGGGCCCCTCAACGAGGAGCTCGCCAATGCATCCGGGCGGCAGCAGCAGGTCATGGTTTTCGGGGTCAACAATCCAAGTAACTATCCCGGCTCCTTTGCCTATAAGTGTGGCCTCCTCGGCGCAAGACTGCCGCCAGTTAATGGTGCTGAAGTTGCATTCAGCAGGTCCGTAGGCATTCACAAGACGTGCCTTGCCCCACCATCGTTTCGCGTCATCAATGGAGACTGCCTCTCCAGCCAGAATTATGGTCTCGATTTGAGGCACCGTAGCTGGATCTATTTGACGCGCCACTGACGGTGTCAGATCGACAAGCGTGGCCTTGAAATCCACCATGGACCCGCTGATGTTATCCCGCAGATCCTTCTCTTCTGGGATACATAAGCATCCTCCTGTAGCGAGTGTGGCGAAGATGTTGTGAACTGAGATGTCAAAGGCGTACGATGCAAAGTCGAATACTCGGGAACGTTCGTTGAAGCCAAGGAGGTGCGACTGGTGCCTCAAGGCCGAACAGAAATTGCGATGTGATAGTACCACGCCCTTTGGCGTGCCTGTGCTTCCCGATGTGAAGACAGCATACATTGGCGCGGACGGGGTCTCAGGACGCAGAGTCTGCTCCTCCGTGATGGTGCGCTCGAGGACACCAGGCGACTCCGGTCCAACCTGGATAACCGTCTGCAACAACCTCGAACTGAGATCCAAATTCGAGGTTGAAGACAAGATGACCCCTGCTTCTAGCTGCTGGACAATAGACCGGAGACGCTGCTCAGGAAGTGAGGGACTGAGCAGTGCAAACCCGGCGCCAGCCTTGAGCACGCCGAGAGCAGCGACAGGCGTCCATACGGATTTTTCAAAGCATAGGGGAACCAGAGCGCCAGGTCCAACCTTCATGGACGCGAGGTGACGCGCAAGACGATCCGCAAACCTGTCGAGCTCCTTGTACGTCAGCTCGCCGTCCCATGCAGAGACCGCTGCTGCATCTGGCCGCCGTCTGGCTTGCTCTTCGACGAGGCTGTGGACAAGCGTCTCCTCTGCCCTGGGCACCTCTGAATTCCAAGCCCACAGCTGCTCCAAGTCGTCCCCTGGTAAAATGTTCACACTGCTGACTTTCTGGTCAGGATCGCGGACGAGCGAGAGCACAGTGGCTCCCAGGGCTCTCGCAACCCGCTCGGCCTCGTCGCTTGCTATAAAACCAGGCTTGAAGCTCAGCTCAATGGACACGTCCGTACCGTTATCACGGACGCTCAGGGAAATGGGGTACTAGAAGTGATGAATGTTAGAATTGATCGTATTTTCACCCTTTTAGCGTAGTTAATGGTACTGGATATATCTACCTCTACTGGATCGTATCCGCCTCGCTCCTGTATGGTGTGTCCATCCGCTGATTGACTGGGCTGCTTGATATCTCGTTGGAAGCTCAGGATGCTGTTAAACAGCCCCGATGAGCCTACGTGAAGGGCTTCGTGAATTTCCATTAGCGCAGTCTGATGTGACAGGCTGTTGACAAAACCTGTTTGCGCTTCCCGCAGCGTCGCAATGACCGACTGGTCTCCGCGAAGGTGCACACGATAGGGTATCATGCTAATAACAGGCCCGAACATATCCCCAACCCTGTCAACAGGCACGTGGCGACCAGATGCCAGGTTTCCAAAGCAGGGGGATGCGCTGCCCGTGTAGTGATGCAGCACCAGGGCCCATGCGGTCTGGATGACCGAAGCTGCTGTGACTTCCCACTTGGAACAGAAGTCGTGGATCCCAGATGCGTCAAGCCCCGGCACCGCGACTATGAAGTCCCGTGTCTGCTCGCTTGCTGCTGCTTCTGGGCCCGGAAAGAGGCATGGTTGCACACCGTCCAGGTACTTGACCCAGAATTCCCGGTCAGCATCCCGTGGCC